TCAGCCCGACACACGAACACCAAATTCCCGGTGTTGCCGTGTCCGTCGGCGGGAAGCCCAAAGATGAAGTCAAGACTCATCGACTTCCAACAATCAGCCGGTACGGGCAGGCTCTGTAGTGGAGCCGAAGAGTGCCCTGCGGGTTTAACCCGCTGACATGTTTCACATGTCTTGACGTACCGGGCGACCCCACTTGTACATGTGGGTCCACCAGAAGGACTGAGAGACCGACAGAAAGGTCTTCTCGCGGCCCAAGTGGCCGCTGGAGGGCGCGTCATGCGCCTCCGCGAGGATGTCGAACTTCAGATCCTCGTCGTTGGGTACGACCACCCGTGGAGGATCAGTGGGCTCCACCCGATAATAGAGGAGGCCCTCCTTCAACTCATATCGGTGGAGCCGTGAGCGCTGTCGCGACGAGAGCCAGTCGGACTTCGCGCTCGTTCCGGCCTTAAGGAACTTGACGATAGGCGCGACAGCCTCATCGTCCCGATACGCCATGCGTATCCGATCATATAGATCCGTTGTCACCCGCGTGATGTGGGCCAACTCATAGTCGGGACGCCTAGAGAGGGCGTCCGCAAGCACGTTGAGCTTGCCCGGCTTGTACTCGACGCGGAAGTTATATTCCGCGAAGAAGGACAGCCACCTCGCCATCCGTTGGGAGAGGTGAGGCGAGTTAGTCGCCGTCCTCAAGGACGCGTGGTCTGTGTAGATCACAAAGGGCGTAGAGCCCAGAAGGTGAACACGGAACTTCACAAGGGCATATTTCATTGCCAGGAGCTCCTTGTCATGGACAGGGTAGTTCCGCTCGGCGGCTTTGAGCTGCCTGGACTGGAATGAGATGACTCGTTCCTGTCCAGCCGTGTCGTCCTGCAGCAATGCACACCCGATGGCGTAATCGGAGGCATCGCAGACGACGCTAAACGGCTTCGTCTCGTCCGGCAGAGCCAGGACAGGGGCCTCTTGGAGACTGGCCTTGATGCTGTCAAAAGCATCCTGGTGCTCTTGCTCCCAGCGCCAGTCGACGTCCTTCTGAAGGAGGCTCGACAAGGGCTTAGCGAAGCCCGCGTACCCAGCGCTGTACTTGTGAAGGTAGTTGGCCAAACCCAACCACTTTCGAAGATCCTTCTGGGATCGGGGCGTCGGCCATGCTGCTATGGCCTTGACCTTGTCTGGGTCAGCCCGAACGCCCACGTTGCTTACGAAGCAACCGAGAGCT